TTTAAGAGGTTGGTCTGTGATGACCACTATACGGTGGCCCTGGAAGTAGTGTCGCAGTTGTCTCGCCGTCGTGACAAGAGCGAGTGCCAGTTTTTCTAGTGCCGAATATCTGACCTCTGCCCCCCGGTATGCCTTGCTCACGTAATAAATTGGCTTTTGCACTCCATTATTATCTCTGACGAGCACTGAGCTTACTGCTGATGGGGAAACAGAAAGGTATAGATGGAGAGCTTCTCCTGGAGTGGCATGTGACAGGAGGGGAGGTGCTGCCAGGTAGGCTTTGAGCCTTTGAAAGGCCTCCTCTGCCTCAGGTTTCCATTCAAAGGCCTTTCGGAGAGTCCTGAAGAAAGGGAGACATTTGTCTGTAGACTTAGAGACAAACCTATTTAGTGCTGCGATTCTCCCATTGAGGCGCTGGAGCTCCTTGGTTGAGGAGGGTGACTTCATGTCGAGGATGACCTTGATCTTGCCAGGATTCGCCTCAATTCTCCTCTGGTCGACCATAAAACCTAAGAATTTTTCTGACCCCACACCAAAGGCGCACTTCTCAGGGTTGAGCTTCATGTGATAGGATCTCAGGACATTGAAAGTTTCTTGGAGGTGATCAATGTGGTCTATTGCTGTGAGACTTTTCACCAGCATGTCATCCACGTATCCACGTATACCTCCATTGTTCGTCCTATCTGAGACTGGAACATCTTATTCACCAGCCGTTGGTAGGTTGCTCCTGCGTTCTTTAGCCCAAAGGGCATGACCCTGTAGCAGTATATCTCCTTTGGCGTGATGAATGACGTCTTCTCTTGGTCTGGGGGTACATGCTAATCTGGTTGTACCCAGAGTATGCATCCAGGAAAGTGAGCAACTCATGCCCTGCGGTGGCGTCGATGAGGAGGTCAATTCGCTGCAATGAGTAACTATCTTTTGGGCACGCCTTGTTGAGTTCTGTGAAGTCGACGCAGAGGCGCCACTTCCCATTAGCCTTAGTGACCATTACCACATTGGAGAGCCACTCAGGATATGCTACTTCTCTGACCGCCCCGTTATCTATTAACTTTCCAACCTCCTTGTTCATGGCTTGGGCCCTCTCAGTGGAGGCTCCCCTTAACTTTTGGCAAACAGGCTTGTAACGCGGGTCAATATTGAGACGGTGTGTGGCCACTTCTGGGTCGATGCCCTCAAGGTCCTCATGCGACCACACAAAGACGTCCATGTTGCACTTCAAAAAATCTATTAACAAGCGAGCCAAATCCTCAGAAAGGGAAAAGCCAATGTAAATTCTTCTGTTTGGATGTTCCTCATCCAAGACTACAGGGGTGAGCTCCTCGACTGGCTCTCCTCTTTCTGTAGTGGAGTCATCCCTTGGGTCAAGGATCTCAACCTGCAACGCTTCTTGGGGTTTCCTAGCCTTTATAGAGGAGACATAGCATTCTCTGGCTGCTATCTGGTCTTCTCTGACCTCTCCGACTCCATTTGAGATTGGGAAACGGAGAACGAGATGGTAGGTGGAGGGCACAACTCTCAATGTGTTAAGAGCTGGCCGTCCTAATATGATGTTATAGGCTAACAGGCACTTTATTACCAGGAAATTGACCATAACTGTGGAGCTTTGGGGTGTTACTCTGGCGGTGATAGGAACTGTGATGGACCCAAGGGGATACACCTTCTCCCCTGAGAATCCAATGAGAGGTGACCTGATAGGCTGCAGCCTCTCCTTGTCCAGGTTGAGCTTGTCATAAGCCTCTGCGAATAGGATATCCGCAGAGCTACCACTATCCACCAGGATCCTGTGCACATTAAAATTGGCCACTGTCATGGTGAGCACCAAGGGGTCATCATGGGGGTGCTGGATTCCCTCCAGGTCCTTATCTGAGAAAGATATGACCTTGTCGCTATCCTGCTTCGGCACCTTAGATGGGCGCATCTCGTCGACATGCCTTGCCTTTCTGGCATGCGCCTTCATTGCAGAAAGTGACTCTCCCATTCCTGCTAGTCCTCCTGAGATGGTGTGTATCTCCCCCACGGGCTGCTGATCTTCTTGATCATGAGGTTGTGGTGCTCGTTCCTTTCCAACAACGTACTGGCGCAGATGACCACGCTGGATGAGCTCCTCAATTTGCCTTTTGAGTTCGTAGCAGTCATCGGTGTCATGCCCGTGGTCGCGATGGAAGCGGCAATACTTGTTAGGATTTCTGCGATTTGGAGGAGACTTCATTTTCCCAGGCCACTTTATCGCGGGGTCATCCTGGATCTGGAATAGGATGTGTCCCACGGCAGCATTGAGGGGAGTGAAGGGTTGACGGTCCCTCTGAGGAGCAGGACCTAGCAGGTCCTTGACAGGGACTCTCTCTGTTCTGCCACGCTTGTTGCTAGTCTCTTTCTTGTCGTCCCTCTCCCTTTTCTTCCTCTTCTCCCCCGTTCTGGAGGACTCACCTCGCTTGGCCCTTGTGATGTCTTCCGCATTCATGTACTTTTGGGCCTTGGCTAGCAGCTCTGACATGCTTTTCGGTGGGCGCTTCATTACTGAGAAAAGGAAGCTTGATGAACGGAGGCCACCTAAGAAGGCGGTCATCGTCACCTTGTCGTTAGGCTCATCAACTTGGAGTACTTCCTCGTTAAAACGAGTGAGATAACTCCTCAGGCTCTCCTCGCGGTCTTGTTTTATACTAAGTAGGTGCATAACAGGCTTCTAGTGGCGACGCCCTCCAATGAAATGTGAAACGAATGATCTGCTAAGCTCAGCAAAGGAGGCAATGGAGGCAGGGGAGAGCTTAGCGAACCACTGTCGGGCAGACCCTTTTAACGTGGTTAGAAATGCCCTGCACATGATTTCGTCTGGTTCGTTGTGCAGCTGCATCAAAGTCTTGTAAGTGTCAAGGTGGTCTAGTGGATCCTTTGTTCCATCAAAGGTCTCCACAGATGGCATTTTGAACTTCTGAGGGAGGGGGTAGTTTGCTACATCAGGCTTGAAAAGGCGTATCCGTGCGCCTTACCAGGTGGTCTACAGTTTCGGGTCCTTATGCCTTCATGGCGTTGAAGACATCACCCAGTTGATTTTGTACTTCCTTGATTTTCTCGTCTCAATGATTGGGGGCTCCTCTAGAATGATCATAGAAATGACTTCCATGCTTGATACTTTGGTTTTCGCCCTCATCCTCTTGGAGATAAGGGTCCTCTCCATGGGGAGCAAGAGGAGGGGGAGGTAAAATTCCCTCATGTTGGGCTCCCCCAAGTGGGGCGCCCAAGGGGGTGCCTAGGCGTGGAGCAGCAGGGCGTGGAGCTCCTCCATGTTGTGCACCTCCGAATTGCGCTCCTTCTTGGGGTCCTCCAAGTTGTGCACCTCCGAGTTGTGCTCCTTCTTAGGGTCCTCCAAGTTGTGCACCTCCGAGTTGCGCTCCTCCTTGGGGTCCTCCAAGCTGTGCACCTCCGAGTTGTGCTTCTCCTTGGGGTCCCCCATGTTGTGCACCTCCAAGTTGTGCTCCTCCTTGTCCAGCAAGCATGAGTTGCAGTAACTGTTGGTTTTGGGCCACCAGCTGCTGCATGGTCTCCAACATTTGCTGGGGATTCGGGACAGGAGCATTCGGGACAGAGTTGGTAGGCGGAGGAGTAACTTCCTCCTCTCGTGCAGGATTGTCTTCAAGTTGGTTCATGGATCGGGTAGTGATCGCCATTAGTTCAGTGGATGTAATGTTCAAGAGTGAGAATTTTGTCAGTTCCCACAGACGGCGCCAAACTGATGATGCACAAAAATAGTTTTGAACACCACCTGTCAAGTGTAAATAATAAATGTAGTAAAAGTAAAGAGAGAATTGGAGGAGACAAGATTTATAGTGGTTCGGTCAACTCAACCTATGTTCACTCTTGAATGGGTTTCGTTGTCGGTATTTTATTAATTTAAGGGTGTGGAGACAGAGAATACAAGCTTCGAGGGAGAAGAGAGAGTCAGGGAAGGTGTGGTGCCAAGCAATCAGTCCTCTCCTAGGTGTTGATGGAGTGTGCAATTTATAGTGGCTCCCTAACAGGTTTGGGGCTACTTTCCAGCGACTAAGCAACCATTTCGGTGGAGCTTCGATCTCTTCTCAACGTGCGAGGTGGTTGAGGAGCTCTCCATGAGACGCGGTCAAAGATTTGGTGAGGGTGGACCGTTTCCTTCGGTGGTGCAGATAAGGCTTCCAATACTCTCCCCTTGATGACGTGGCTAAGCAAAAAGTCTAACTTGGTCTTGGCTATGTTGGGTTTGGTGGATCTTTAAATGAGGTAGGGCTTCTTAATTGAGATTTGGACTTTGCACATAGATTGAGCCATTTTGGGCTTGACCCATCAAGAAGTACGATGATCCCAAGCCTATCAAAGACGATGCAGTTGGTAATCTCTCTCTGTACGTTTATGGGTTCGAAATAAAAGCCCTATTGATATCTGTAATCATTTCTACAAACCTAAGATTTAGTATAATAGAAATAAGGACGAACTGTAAATCTAAACATCAATAGTTCATGAAATTTTTTAATCTCAATGATCTGACTTTGACCAAAGGATATTATTTGAGGTGTGCTTAAATTAATCCGAAAATATCTAAAATGAATTAGTGGGTTATGGATGAACATTTTATCAGAAGTATCTAATCTATCCTTATTTGATTGAAGCATATATTAGGGTGGGTGTAGGGTGAACGATGTTAAAGTAGACTCCTCATTCATTAACTAAGAGAATATCACCAAGATTTTGTAATCTGTTGCCGACCTTATTCCAATTGAAAGAGCTCGGATCGAATTGGTATGTGCAGTACCAATACCAAAAAAATATTAGATCATTAGACTAAACCAGATGGCTGGTTTTGGAGGAGTGGAATTTTTGCTATTTGTATCCATCTTTTTATCACAATATATATATTTGGTGCTGTTTTGCATACCAGTTTTTGTGAAACAACATGCATATTGGTCGAGAACAATCAACTATATATATGAACATTTTTACCCATATGTGCAGTAGAAGTTTCAAGAACAATGAGAGATTTTCCTCCAGCTGACTACCAATTTCAAATTAAATCATTCTCTTTGCTTTCAAAATTGGTAGAGAAAAGATTTGAATCGGGTGACTTTTATTCTAGTGGCCTTACATGGTGAGTAGAACTAGAATTCCTCGTTTTTCTTAGGAACTTAGGTCAGTAAATTTAGTTCAAATGGTATTATTGTTCTGTTTTTGGCCTTGTTCTGCAGGAAATTGTGTCTATACCCGAATGAAAATGGGAAAGGACACGTCTCTCTCTACTTGGCAATATCGAATACACATACACTTTTTTATGAGGGGAATGTTGATGTTAACTTCAAATTGTCTGTGTATGATCAACTACGACATAAATATCTTACCATCGAAGGTAGCATCTCGTAATTTATTTTCTTCTCCTTCTTCGACGTGCTTGTCATCAAAATACCAAAGATTACGCTCTGAAATATTTTCACTGATATTTGTAGATGCTAATAGGAGAGCAAGCAACTTCAACCAGTTGAAGACTGAGTGTGGTTTTGCCATTGGAGAGTACAAAGGGTATGTTTTCCTTTCAAAATCACACATTTCTAATCTTCTGAACCATAAATTGCTAGATTAATTTCTTATAATCTGCTCTCTATATTGTTCCAGGCAGATACATGTTTGTCCCAGAGGATTTCTTCATGAGGGCAACAGCTTGAGTATCTTTCTAAATGTATCCAAATTTCATTACCTTCGAAGACAAAAGATATACGTGGAATTCACGTTGCGCATAAAAGACCAACTCCATGACAAACACCACGAAATGAAATGTTATGATCCCCTCTCTAACATTTGTTTTATTTTTTTTCCCTATAATTTAATTCGATTTTTTCTCTCACAGTTCATCATTGGTTCTGTGACTCAACCAAATCGCATGGATCGCATCAGATTTTGCAGTTGGCAGATCTCCATGACAAATTGAGGGGCTTCATAGTAGAAGATACTTTAGTTGTTGGAATTCAAATTGATGTCATGGCTACCTACTACGAATGAAAGAAGATTGTGAAAGCTACAGAACTTTTAGGCTACTATGCTTACATAACTATTTGTGTAAACTACAGGAAAGGGGAAGAGATACTCGAATAGCTGTTGTTGTCCCCTTTCTCAAAATGTAAGGCTTGCTTGTTACACAGTTCAATCATCTGTTCAAGCAGATGTTTATTTACTTGCAGCTTTTATTTCTCTTTGTAATTAGCATTTGCCAGTTTATTTGATTGGAGTTAATATACGTTCAATTGTATTGCTGATTTAAAGGCAAATCCTGTATGAGTAAGACTAACAGTACTTCTAAATGTGCAAACTTAAAAAGGCCACAAATCATCCAGAAACTGAAACAGAAGCTGGGTATCAGAAACTTTTTCTTAGCCAAACCAACAAACCCAAATCAGAAAAAGTGTATGTTGGTGTGGTGGTGGGTTGTTTGTGGGGTGGACCTAGATGGACAGCGACGAGATGATAAATGGTGATGTGTTTTTGGCAGTGACTTCAGGTTTTTCAAAGATGTATGGTGGTGAATTATGTTCGGATTGTGGTGGCAACGATTATGAGCAAGGAAAGATCAAAGCAAGGATTTTTAGAACCCCGGGTGAGTCATGGCTTCCCTAGGCAATAGCTATGCTCCGTCCCTACTTACATGGCTTCAAATGGAGGTGAATCGAGCGTTGATAGGGTGTCGATGAGAAACAAGACTTGGCCACTCATTCAGTATTAGGACGCACTCACAAACAGTAACCACTGCCAATTTTTCCATTCACCAACAAAATCCACGACATCATCTGATCTTGTAAGAGCACTTCTTCCGACCATAATATCTGCCTAAATTCTAGCTTATTCTAGCTATTCAATTATTATGTTCGTGTCCTACCTTAGGTGTTACTTTCTGGAACTTGTCTAAAGGCTATGCCAACTTGCAAGGTTTAACTGGGAGTGAAACTAATGGACCCGTATAACACTGAAAAAACGGTCATGCATCTTACCTATCTAGCCACCAACAATATTGCTCTGCCACCAAATCATTTCTTCTCTATAAATGCTTTCGGCTATTTGAAAGGTTCAGTAAAAACACAATCAAAAATTTTCCTCTTGGCAGACGAGTTGAGCATACAATGGACTACGCAACATGTAGGCAGAGAAAAAACTACACCCAAAATCTTGAAACAAAGACTTACAGTTGATGAACCTACTAATCCTGTGGTATCCAAAACATCAAAATAATGACATTACATCCAGCTTGAATTTTTTGTATTTAGACATCCGCAGCCAAAAAATTCCTAGGTAAAGTAACCTGCAAAAAAAATAACATACAATAAATAAGTAAATTTACTTCCAATTGTCATTATCATTTCAGTATAACCCTCAGATACTACAGATCAAAGTCAGAAGGATAAGTATGGGTGTACAACCCACTTTCTCCATTTAAAGGAATTTCTTCGATTTTTTGGTAAGATCGACCTTTGGCAAAGTGACTACACTTAGAAATCCTCAATTTTGTTGCTAATTTTTACCACTATACTATGCAATTACCCTGAAGAGAGAGAGAGAGAGAGAGTCTTATCTCAGTACATACCTTCTCACCCAGTTTAAATGGAGGAAGACCCTTGTATGGACATGTACTGCACCGAAAAGCATCACCCAGTCCACACTGCATGTGTACATGAAATCTCAGAGAAGAAAGGAAGACAAAAGAAAGAAACTCTATATTCAAACTTGAGGCATAGGTAAAGAAGGAAAATACTTCGGTGACTACAAATGCTAAAGCATAGAAGTTCTTGAAATTTCCATGTTATCCATAGATCAACCAGGCAACAGCAAAACAACGAAGAAAGCCCAACTCGTCCAGAGGATGTCCCTTGTTTGTCAAGAACGACTGTATTCAATCCACACTATAGCAGCTACCAAGACCTCATAACATCTCAGTGATTGGGTGGACTTCTTTTGCATAGGTCATCACTTAAGCAAGCACCCATAGTTCCATTTATTATCACTCTTTGATGAGGTGCTCAACTTAGGTGTCATTTGGATACTAATGCTACCGCAAAAAAATTGCAGTTTGTATGATATCAAAAGATGGAATAGTTTGGAGGGACTAGATGATGTTAGCAAAGAACATACACTGCTACAAGCTGATTGAGGATTGTCAGTCCTAGCTTCTCGGCTTTCTTTTCTTCCTCAGGCCGTCCACAGGTGCAATTTTTGCAGGCTTTCCTTGTGCTTCCAACCTCACAATCACCAACTGCAAGTGTGTATACATTCAGCACGTGCCAAACATTCCCAATAATGTTACACTCAATAAGAGTAGAAGCAGTGAAACTTAATCTAGTTTTTCCATGCGCCAAAAAATCCCGACAATGTTACACTCAACAAGAGTAGACGCAGTTGTACTTAATCTTGTTTGCCTCACCAGGTAACAACTGGGGTTTCTTCAAATCCTCTTCAGTTAAGAGGCTATCTTCATCAATCAGATCCACATCATCATCAATATGGACCTTGGGTAAATTTGTCGAGGCCTTCTTGATAATAAAGGATGAACCAATTTTCCAAGAAGGCTTCTTTGTCGTAATCTGTTTTAGAAAAAAATCAAATTAAGTTGGCGAAATAGACGGAGACACATCAACCAATCCATCAGAACAAAGGGAGATTATCAGAGTGATATAAAGCCATGGTTTTAAAATCCCTACTATTTCCACTTTCGGGGGGAAAAAATCAAATATTAAGACTTTTGTTCAATGCATTCCATAAACCGAAGTACTTTACAAAGCAAGAAAAAAGTTAGTTCTAGAAGTACATTAGAGACCATGTGTAAGAAAATAATTTACATTAAACTTTCCTCACTTTACCCAATCCAACCATCATACAAAGCATATCTGGTAGAAGTGAATATGTCTCGATCATGGTTCTCACTCATCCTAACATTCACCCATTAGGGATCATTATTCTCTCTATCATAAAGAGAAGAAATGAGGAAAGGAGAGGGGGGGGGGGGGGGGGGGAAATAAGGAAAGGGAAGTGTTGACAACTAAAAATGAACAGATACTAACCCCAAAAGACTGGACAACTTCTGATGGTACAACTTGTGTCATTAGAACAACCTGTACATCCAAAAACCCTGCCAAAAGTAATTTGCGCTCAACAGAAGAGGTTGTCTGAAAGAAGAACTCTGTAAGATTAATATAACTTGATCTTCCAACAAGTTAGAAAAGGGATATTTGTTACATGACCATGTTCCCTGTAGCAGACTGAGAAGTCAGGTGAATCAAAATCATTCCACCAGGCTTCATCACTCCCGAGATTTCCCCAAACAATTCATCACCAGGAAATTCAGGTGATCTACAGATGGATATGAAAATATCCACATACGAAGAATCCACTAGTAGAAGACCTGCCGTTGGCCAACATCAAGCTTAGATTACTGATACGCAGAGAAATGAATTAAGCTACATCCATAAACTGAAAATTTTCAGGGATACTTCTTTTTGATAATTAACCTGCTACTAGTGAAGGAAACACTGCTATCGAATTCATTTGGGCAAATGCAAATTTAGGGAAGAGAATACGACAGATGAACAAGCCTCATCTATCCAATGCCCAAGTCTTCCAATCCATTGCTAGCATTGTGGACACAATTTTACCCATACCCATTCTTCTAAGATTGCTTTCGCATGAGAATTCTAAATATTACTGCTAATCCCATGCATAGAACTTTTGTCCAAAGCCTCAATACTTTGTTGGCAAACATCCACAACCATTTGGAAAGCAACATAATAGTAATAATCACTCTCACAAGATCTATCTCAAGGCCGCCACTCTTTATAGGGCAACAAAATTATTTAGCAAGCATGAAATCAATTGCTCATTTTTCACCTGCCCGCAGGATTTCCAAGCTTCCTACTGTTTTGGAAGCTAAGCCTGAATCCAAGCCCAGTTGCCAGATTGGTTTGTTCTACCCCAAAAATGATGATCATTACTAAAATGCACAAATCTTCCTCTAACTAGATGAATTTTTCAAGATCAGCATTAATCATCTAACAGCATTGAACCAAAGCATCAAAAATCCGAGTTCACTCCCAAATTTCTCTCTTTAAAGTCTAAATAGAGTGTCCTAAACGGTAGTGTTTCATGTTTTATTCCACACATCCCAAAACATAGTTCGCTGTGGCAGAAGCATCTCTGGTAACCATGGTAGTTATGTGGATTGTAGATGATGAAATTTGTGTTTAATGATAAAGGAAAATTATTTGCTTCCAAATGGAAAAACTTTATGCTTCAACTAACAACAAATCACTATGCTTTACTTTTGCCTGCCTTGCTCTTTTCTGATGGTCGTTGCCCAGTGGCGTGATAAAATTCTGGACTAATAACTGAAAATTTGTGGGTTCAAACCTCAAGGAAATTGGTAGTATCTGTACAATGGAAACTACTACGGATGGCACAATGAAAAACTAAATAATGTAAATAGAAATATTTAGCCGGTAGAAAATGAGTAAACTAATATATAGATAGAAGTAGAAGTAAATAAAATATACCTAGTGATGAAGCTTGAGTAATGATCAGAGGATCAGTGTGTTCAATTCCTTCCTTCTTGACCACCTTGATTGCTTTCGAAACTGCACCAAGAGGCACAGCACATGATCCACAAGCACCAATATGCTCTCCTGTTTCACTTCGGATTCCTATAACAGAAAAAAATACTCGAGAATTCAATTTCATTTCTCTCAACATTTTCTCAACAAAAATAACAGTAGAATCGCGTTCATAGATCGTGTTGAACAAGACTCACCATAGCGATAGACGACGTTGAAACAAGCTCCAAACCAACAAATCAATAGACGATCAATGACCTACACCGCACTGTTAGAGAGAGAGAATCAATGTCGAAGAGGGCAATGTCGCACCGTCTCTCTCTCTCTCTCTCTTTCCAGGTTCTAGAGAGTGAAGGTGGAGACGGAATTGGATTCTATGCGAGGATTGTGCCGACACCGGTATGAACTTGCCGCTATTTAATGGTTCGAGTTAAGCTTTTGACCCATGTATACAGTTCAAAACGAGTCGGTTTGAATTGCCCCGTGAAGAAATTCCGGATTCGGGAAATAATTGTGATTTGGGAATAATTCATAATAAATGGGGAAAATTGACTAATCGCCAATATAAATAAGCACACTGCATAAAAAAAAAGGTTTTTTTTTCATTTAATGTTGTTTATTACAAGAAAAATAGACATACCACCTTAGTACCAAACCAATCAAATCAATCCATGTGGCATACTAAATGAATCCAAAAATTAAACTTAAAAAAAAAGAAGAAAGTAATGAAATTTAAGAAAAAAATAATGAGGAGAAGATAAAGAGGGTGTTCCGACAGATTTCTAACAAGTGAACAAAGCACGTGTGACTGCAGTTTCAATTATGCTATGTTTGGTATAATGGAAAGACGAAAAATTGGAGTGATAAAAAAAATATTATATTTGATAAGGAAAGAAAATAGGAAGGATGAAAAAGTGGGTGAATGAACTTTCCTTTCAATTCATCAAAATCAATCCTTCTAAAATTGAGAGGAAATTGGGTGGAAAATTAATTAATTATATTAAAATATATATTATTTATTTATATATACTTTGATATATACATATATTATATTTATCAATTATATATTATGTATACATTAATTTCATATATAAATATAATAATAAAATATATATTTATACTTTTTAAAAAAAAAAAAATTCATCTTACCAAGCACAAAAATTTCATCAATCCTACTAAACACAGAGAAATGAAAGTGTATCATTCATATTTTCCTTATTTAGAGGATAGAAAATGTATCCCTTCTACTTTTCACCCCTCCTATTTTTCATCATTTCTACCAAATGAAACATTAGGGTGAAAATAATAGTATATGAGAAGGAGAAAATATTTATAATGAAGTTTCACTTCTACGTTAATACTAAATTGACTTCAAAAATATAATTTAATCAAATTTGTGAATAAAAAATTAAATTCAATGGATTGAGCAACCTATTTTCCCAATGTCACCTTAATTCATTAATTTAAACTTTTTTATTTATTGGTCCCAACCTTAATTTTGAACAATTATAAATTTTACATCCGTTATGTATAATTAGAGATTAATCTTCTCTTGGCCGAAATTATTTTGAGTCTTACCCAAGTTGATATTTACTCGCCTGAATTATTGTATCTCTAGGTGATCAAAAAGTAAAGAGAAAGTTTAACGAGTTCTAGTATTTTTTTTAACAGAAATGATTACCTAAAAATTTTTAACCTAGTGTTTTTTTTAAACAGTTACCTAAATAATTTATAAAGTAAAAATTAGGAAGAGGCACACTATATAAAACTTATTTCTTTTAAAGTTAGGGGTGTCAATCGTGTCGAGTTAAATGGTTACGTGTCGGGTTAAACGGGTGACGGGTGAAAAACATATAAACCCATACACGACACATTTAATTAGCGGATAAAAATTTCAACACGAACACAATCCGTTTAATAAACGGATAACACGACACGACTCATTTAACCCGTTTAATTTTAAAAAAATTATATCAACAAATTTTAATACTCCATTTTTTTTACTACTAAGTGCACTTACCTCAAAAAAGAGGAAGTTTAATTCAAATCTCATTAAAATAAGACTTGAGGGCTTTAAATAAAAAAATAAGAGGATATTACCTTTTATAGGCAACTCACCCTCCCCATCTCCCCTCATTTTTTAATGTGGGACAAAAACAAAAGATATTGGTTTACCTTTATCTTTGAAGTGTTCTACAACTCCTCTTCTTTGTCTTTGAAAAATAAGATTTGAAAGCTTTAAAAATAAAAGCAAGAGACCATTGTCTTTTATAAGCAACTCAACCCTTTCCATCTCTCCTCATTTTTCAACGTGAGACAAAAACAAAAGACAGTTGTTTGCCTTTGCCTTTAAAGTGCTCTCTAACTCTTCTCCTTTGTCTTTGAACTACTATTTTATCCTTTTTTTATTGATTTCTTTACTTTTTTTTTCTTGCTAATTTTTTAAAATAATTATTAATTTATTATTATATTAATTTTATTTAAACGGGTAAACGTGTGATAAACAGTTTGACAGGTCTTACCCGAACACGACCAGTTTATTAAACGTGTTTGACGTGTCAACCCGTTTATAACCCAAATCCGTTAAGATCTCACTCAAACTCGTTTAATTCGTATCGATTCATATCGGTTAAACGTGTCATATCGAATTTTGAGAGCCCTACTTAAAATAGATGACCCAAACTCTTTAGCCATTAAGGCCACCTTCTCCTAAATATTCGGTGACTATATATATTTTTTCAAATTTGCATATTTGTGTAGTATATAATTGCTCTTTACTTAATTTATGCAAGAGTTGGTAGTTTATTTATTTTTTGATTATGTTTTATTAGATAATTAATTTTCTAAATTAATGGATTATTAATCGTTTGAATTTTAAAAGAATTTCATTAATATTCTTGTCAACCAACGTTTTGTTTTTTCTCCATTGACCCATTTATGGATTCTATTTTCTTCAAGTAGCCACCGAATCTCATCCTATCCAATAAAATATTATATCGATTTCGGTTTTAGAAACGTTAACAACATTCGTTGTCATCACTACATTAATGACAGAATTAAGGAGTATGGTATAAAACTCTTGAAATCTTTCCTTACTCAAAAAACAGGGAAGAAAACACACTTGAGCAAGCACTTGAGTGCATTAGTGTTATTCTGCTGCATTGCATTGTCTCATATTGTTTGTCTGCACTTCAATCTTATGGTGGGTTTGTTGGCTCATTACCGATAATTGCGTCGAATAGATTTTAGTTTTGGGAGAGGCATGTAGCATATTTGTTGATTCATTCACACTCACCTTTTTTTTTTTATTGACACTTTTTTTTGGGAAACACATCTAACATATTTTCTCTAACTCTTCCAAATTGATTCTCTCTCGAATCTCTATAACTTTTCTCTGTCTCTCTCTCTGTGCAAATACTTTAAGATGTATGAAAGCAGTGAAAATCGTTCATGGAGTACTGATATAAAGTGGAATATGTGAATGATTCAGGCACTCCACCCCCACCCCACCCCCTTTATTTGTGCTTTTCACAACTAAAATTATGTGGTTTATTGCTATTTTTTCATTTGTGTTCTTGGATTAGTTGAATTTGTGAATACTATTGAGATTGGGATGATTGATTGTTGAATTTGCTTAATTATTTGATATAGTTTTGTTGAAATTATTTTTGAAAAACAATTGCTAAAATTATTTGATGTAAATTTGTTGGATTTCAATTGATTTAGATAGGATCAAATTGTCAGATTGGATGTTTGATTCTTAACTGATTGTGTATTTAGGCATGTGTTATTGATATTCTATCTATCTATATTTATATCTATACTACCATAAAATTTCACCAAAATTGAAATTTTTTTATTTGACTATTCTGTCCCTATACAAATGATTAAAGACACTTACATCCTTATGTATTTAATTATCCAATTTATATTTATACTACTTATAAATGTTAACCAATAAAAAGATTTTTGATTACTTATTTTATCTCTAATTAATTAATTATTTATACTATTAATAAAAGTACCTTACATGAAAACTTTTAATTTACTATTTTGCCCTTATAAAAATTTATATAGACTAATATGTCATTTTATATTTAAATATGCAGATTACCATTATATCAATCTATACTTAAATAACAAACTAACCTTTAACATATCATGTAAATCTCTATATTTATAAAATTTTTAGATGGTCATGTTACTCTTAACAAGATATGTAAAAATATTATTCTTTTTTTCTAAAACCCCAATATTACACATTGACAATTTCTTTGATACAATATTATCTCCGGTGTCAAAAAATCAATATATGTATCTTTTTTTCTTCATCCACAATACAAACAATTTAAGTATGACAAATATGAGATAATATCTAACTTGACTATATAATTAAATTTTTATGTATTTTATCAAATATTTTAACGAAAACTTTCACGTGCAACGCACGTGTTCTATTGCTAGTTATATAAAGACAATCATATTCTATTATTTATTTTAATTCTCAAACCCTTCTCATTCTAGTCGTAAATATTCAATTAAAATTGCAATGAATATATGTTTACCAATAGGTAAGCTTTTCATTTTCTCACTTGTTTTTAACGTCCTCTTTGGATGTTATAAGAAGGTATTGTGGTACTACAAAGTAAGGTATAGAATTGGAGTTCTTCTCATTCTACATTTGTAGCGTTTAGTTATCTTATGTCAAGATTTCTTTTGTGACTTTAATTAGATGAATTATAGGTTAGATATGCTCTTTACAAGGATTAAAAAAGTGTTATACTATCAAATCCATCATAAAAGTTTCCTTCAAATGTAGTTAGGAGAAGTTTTCATAATGGATGTGTGAAAAAACATTTCTTTTCCTCTAAGGATGTTCAGTTCAACTTCACTGTTTTTTTTATGATTCAAGTTTTGGCTTTTAAATTGTCATGATTTGAACCAGAGGATACAAGTAATTTTTCTTTTTGTATTTTAATGGTATTGGTTGTGTACATTAATTTAGTGCCAAAACAAAGTAATATATATTAAACAATGAAGTGAATTCCACGCCACCTAATGGAGAGTTAGTTAATCTCATTTCTTAATTCTTTGTTTAGCTTAAGACTCGAACAAGGAGAAAGATATTCTTAGCAAGAA